AGGAAGTTGAAAATGACACTGGTGGAAAACAAGTTCAACGGAATTGGGCTACATCTTTCATATTTGACCATTATCAACATAATGAGATGTAATGTAATTGCAATTGATTATACAGATTATCGTTTTGTTTTCATATTCTTTATATACTAGTCAACAAAAGAAACGATACAAGGCAATGCATTTTCCATATATAATGAAATTGGATACACTGTACCAAGGTAAATAGTTGGCCAATTGGTCTAATATTTACAGAGTGTTATTTTCTAATCAAAACCATTGATTTAAGGCAAATACGCGAATTTTTCTTTTTGCAATTTTTGTTATTTTAAAAATCGTATTTTCACCCAAAAATTCAATCATCGATATTAGACCTTAGCAATTTAAATAATAAGGGTGACTTGGGAATCAATCTAATCAAAATATAGACCTCTGATTTCGTTATCCTATGTACGAGCAGGCGAGTTAATATAGGTCTTAATTTTAATCAGATTGACTGCATGGGGAATAAAAAGAATATGGTCACTTAGGTCTTCTTCCGACCGGCAGTCAAACCCTTGTAAAAGTGTGGCGTCCTTTTGGCTGTGCGGGATGTACATGTACGCAGCTACGTCCGATCAGAATGGGAACGTTAAATCCGATTACTCGTGTAAAGAGAGTGCCATGCTCTTTGCACGCCAAAGACCATTGCAAAAACTCTTGAAGGGGTCCTTATAATAGCCTGTTGCAATGTCACTATCCAATATACCCTAATTTTCCAGTGACAGTCTAAATTTTCCCGACCTTCATCCCATGTGGCCTCAATTGCAGGACCTACCTATTTATCTATTGTTAATTTGTTCTCGGCCTGAATATGCATGAAACATTTGCCACTGGACCTCTATTACAGGACCTACCTATTGTATCTATGGTTAATTTGTTCTCATCCTGAATATGCGTGAAATATTTGCCACTAGACGTTAAGCAACAAACCATCAATCAGTCAATCATTAAAATGTTTAGACATTGGAAAATACCATTATTATATGATAAAAATCCCACATTCTGGGCTTTTCAGAGACAAAACCATTGTGTCTGTGTGTGGCTAATCACTGCCTTTCTAAATTCAAAATAGAAAAAGAGAATGAGACAAACAGCACATCCTTTACAATTTGGGAGATAAAAATCATTATTCCATGATTGGTTGAATATTTGGTAAATGAATGAAAACTCATAATTGGCAATTGATCATAATTTTAGACAATTTCAAAAATGTAATCATTCATAATTATGAATACCTAGTTAATTTATTTATACCTAGATAAGAAGATGTGGTATGAGTGCCAATGAGACAACTCTCCATCCAAGTCAAAATTTATAAAAGTAAACCATTATAGGTCAAAGTACGGTCTTCAACACGAAGCCTTGGCTCACACCGAACAGCAAGCTATAAAAGGGCCCCAAAAATTACTAGTGTAAAACCATTCAAACGGGAAAACCAACGGTCTAATTTATATGAAACGAGAAACGAGAAACACTTATGAACCACATCAACAAACGACAACTACTGAACATCAGATTCCTGACTTAGGACAGGTGCAAACAATTGCAGCGGGTTTAAACGTTTTAATGGTACCAAGCCTTCATCCTTATCTGAAACAATAGTGTAACATCACAACATAGAAAGACACACTATAAAATATCAATTGGAATGGCTTAACTCAATCAAAAGACATATTAACACCAGTGAACATACACTGAACAAATAAATTTGATCTATGATACAATGTAAATACAAAATAAATAAACTAAGGGAAGAATAATTAAAGTAACATGTTATTCCGCTGTGAAATGTTAAACAATTTAAGAAAAACAATATTCTTGAACAAAAATATCAGCCATTTGCAATTACTTTAAACGCAGGTAAATGAAAATAATTTTGTTGTCAGGTATACGTGTACAGTTCAAATGGAGAAAGGAAATATTTTTACAAAATAAATAATTTTGATGTTCATAGTACGAAGAAGTGAAAATTTATGGTAATACCAAACACTTATCGAAGCTGGTATATAGACCAGATATAACCCTGAATAAGTAAACATTAAATAAATGAATGAAATGACCCCAAAGGTGGATTGGAGTATAGAAATATGGTAATCCATGGAATTCTACCATCTGGCAGTAAAACCCATGTTCGAGAATGGAGCCCACTTGGTTATGCATACGTATAAATAGTAAAATACGTAGTCACGTTCAGTCGGAATGGTAAAGTTAAATGCGGTGCCTCGTGTAGGAAGAGTGACACCGCCATCTGCACGTTAAAAAACCATTGCAACCACTTGTTCAGGGGTCTGTTAGTAGTCTGTTTCATTGCGAAAATTCCTTTTCGAGGTGTCTTTGAAATTCTGCCCCTCACCATGATCATCCAGGTTTACCCACTCTATTAGATTATTTCTTATTTGTTCTCGTCCTGAATATTCATGAAATATCTGTCACTGTGCGGTTAGCAAACGACATTCAATCAACCAAATCCGCATATATGATTATACATCTTGCACCTGTATATGCCTAAAACTCTTTTGCAATGCTGGTTTTGCCCTTAAGCCATTCAGGACTACTCACAAGCCATATCGCATTTTATGAAACATGCTGAGGTCTTAAATTCAAAAGTCTCAAATAGTTAGCCTCATATGACTCGCTGATAATAAGGATCAAGCTACATCTTATTATCTAGTAATTAGGGGTAACAGTTGAACTGACTTGCAACCACTATGCCCACACAAATGGAATTGACTTTCTGAAAATGCATTATGTTTTTGAGATTACAACTAGATACTATAGACATAGTAGAAAGTTATTGTGTCAAACGTCTGTATATCGTTTATTTGTGTCGTTTGTTTTCTGTCTCATTGGTACACACCCCGCATCTCATTTGAGGCTGCAATTTCGTTATTATCTTATAAAAGATGATATCGTGTTGATTTTTGAATGACTTATCATCTATAATTCATTGTATTTATGTTTAACTTGCTAGAGATTTTTTTCTGGTAAAAGAGAGACAACTTTAATGTATAAAATGTCTGGTCATCGATGCATCATATTTACAACGTTATTTTTTGTCGGTTTTGTATTTTTAGAAATCTCTAGACTTTTGTGGGGACATGGGTATTGTTTAATTGGGAGGGGGTACAAATTTGATTTTCAAAAATAAATTCTTGTTCCTGTATTTTTTGTATGTTTTTAATTAAGTCGATAAAATTGTTTGAGGCGAGAAAAACACATGCTCTCACCACTGAAGAAAAATGGTCGGTGCCTTACGAAAAGTGTGAGGAACCAATTTTGTACTTCTACAGGGTAGCATAATATACAAACACACTTACTGTATGGTACTTGTAAAGGACCCTTTTTCAGTTTTGAAATACTTATGAAAAAGTGAAATGAATTGATAGTTTTTATCAAAAGTGTTGGTACACGTAAAGCATTGTACAAAAAAGTACATCTGAATCGTGTATTACAAATCTATCATAACGAAAACAGGCTACATTATTTAGGTTCATTTTTTGGCATTTTATTAAACTTATATCATTTAGACTGCTGATCTTGAGTTCAGTACAGATCTCACTTGTTATATTAGAAAATAATATTCAAGCAATGCTCAAACCAAAAACTTACTGGATCTTGATCATTGTATTAAAAAAAAATCTACACAATATATACAAGAGTTTGTATTTGAAATTCCACACAAAACGTTTAAAATACAAGCGCGATAAAAACCAAATAATACGACCCAATGGAATCAACTTTTTTTTTAAATTGTCATGAACTTTTTGGGTGTTTTTGATGGTGCTTTCAATTCGATTGACAGTTAATGACTTTTTCGACTTGTACGCTCATCAAAGAGAAGTTTTCTTATTTGAATAAAAGGTAATATGGTCATCGTCTTATTATCTTTTTATGAAGGTCAATTTTGAAGAAAGGGATAAGTGAGACATACGTCAAAGAGACAAAGCTCTATACTAAACGACACAGACAATAATCAAGAGACACGTATCTACATACAATAATAGAAGGTTGAAGATATTTTTTGTTCTTTTAAAAAAAAATCATAACCTCTCGTTCTTGCAAAAATGTTGAGATCTCATGTGACGATATGGCTACAAACATCACATCATGCCGAGATTGAAGAAGCCGGAAGTAATAGATGTGTTACCAAAAATTATGTTTCTGCTTTGTAAAATAGAATAGGTAATTCCGTGTTACCAAAGAATGGAGGCACAAGTTTTTGAAAATTATAATCACTGTATTTACTGTTTAAATTCAGTGCATTCTTGTGTGTGCCGTTCTAAAACAGGTTTTTTTTAATGTGGCCGGATCGGTAAATGGTTAATTTATGCAACGTGTTCGCCCTTTGTTTATTTATCAGCGTGTTTGACTTTTCTCTTTGACGTTTAGTCGTGCAAGGCATGTGCATCATTCAACATGTTAGGTTATTTAAACTTTATGTGCTTATTTTGCGCTGTCGGCATTTTTTCAAGTAGAATTCAGACTGCTAGAACAGTTGAAATAATTTGATGTTGTTCCTTATCGGTTTCGGAGATTTCCAACATATATACTGGTTTCAAGTCTTTGGTTATATTATTCAATATAATATTTGCCTTCTATAATCATACCAATCGTTAAAGTTTAGAATATTGGAAATGCTTCAAAAATATTGTTATTTTTTTAAAACAATGTTACATTCACAACAATATAAAGTTCATATATAAAAGAGAGGCGAAAGATACCAAAGGGACATTCAAACTCATAAGTCGAATATAAACTGACAACGCCATTGCAAAAAAAAAGACCAAAACACAAACATCAGTACCCAAAACACAACACAGAAAACTAAAGACTGGGCAAACATAATTGGTGGAACAACAAAGAAGTTTCATCCACATTTTGTACGCAAAAAATAGCTAATTTTTAAAACATCTACTCATTAAAAAATCGCATGTGTAGAAAAGAAAATAATCAACTCCCAATGTGTGTTGAAAAGTATATTATTTTTTAGCTATAGTATTAATTAAAAAAATGTCTTACTTAACAAAATACAAAAGACCCCCTCATCTTCCTCGGTCGTAAAATGTCCGATTTCTTAGATTCAGAAACAAATTCGGTGGTGCATTGGGTTATTTTTTTTATTTTCATTTTGCTATATTGTTAGAATATTTATCTAAAGGCAAAATAAAATTCTTTTGGTGCTACGCAATTGTTGTGCCTTTTGAATTGTCGACAGTGAGGTAGACATATAGTTGAAACAGGACTTGGATCGACGTTTCTTCCTAAACGATATTTCGTTAATTTCTTATGTAGGTTAGTGAATACCGAAAGTAATTTGACCCTCTTCTTCTGAACATAACAGAAGGAATGGAACGCCTCTGACCTCTCCAGCTGGGTAATAAATTTCAGAGCCACGTGCACCAGTTTTCCTTGTTAGGTGATGGTGAATAGTCGAATTCACCCATTTCTTCATCAACGTAGGAAAATTCGTCAAACACATCATCAACTCGGCCAGTCCTTGTGAACCATCTGACGCAGAATTTGATCAGCACGGGTTGTTTTGTATCTACCTGAAAGAAAACAAGAAATGAATAACGACAATCAAATAGGAAAAATCAATGGAATCGGACCCGTTTGCTTCTGATTTATTCTAACTCATAAAATTACCTTTCCGTGCTTTAACTATTTCAAAGACCGCCAAAAACATACCTCAGATGAAAGGAAAAACTCTGGTTTAAATGTTTGTCCGAATTTATTGCTCTGTCTTAAATTGCTGGGTTTACATGTCTTCATCAGGAACGGATTCAGGGGCCACCCCCCCCCCCCTTCTATGGCCAAATATTTGTGGGGCTTTGTACATTTTTTCAGTGGGCCCTTCAAATGTCCAACCACTCTTTTTTGAGTATTCAGGGCTTGCCTTTATTCAACAATATACTGATGAAAAAATACGGAAAAATTCGAACACTGTTATATTATAAAACATGTATGCTGACAGTTAAAGCAGTAAAAAATTAAAGTTTTACTTGAGACATTTTTCGGTGGCCGAGTGATCTAAGTAGTTCAACTACTGTACAACTAGAAGAGAGGGACGAAAGATATCAGAGGGACAGTCAAACTCATAGATCGAAAACAAACTGACAACGCCATGGCCAAAAATAAAAAGACAAACAGACAAATAATAGTACAGATGATACAACATAGAAAACTAAAGACTAAGCAACACGAACCCCACCAAAAACTGGGGGTGATCTCCGGTTCTCCGGAAGGGTAAGCAGATCCTGCTCCACATGTGGCACCTGTCGTGTTGCTTATGTTATTACAAATCCGGTAAATAGTCTAATTCGCCTGTCAACACTGAGGCTGTGAGTTCGAGCGCGGCACGTGACGACTCAAATCTTTATTGACTATATAGAATTGCCAGTTTTCCTGTCGAAATTCAGTGGTTTTCTCCGTGCACTTCGGTTTCCTCCACCAATAAAAACTGTGGTCACCACAAAATAGCCAATTTTGCTGAAACCACGTTTAAACACCAATCGAATTAAAATATAGATCTCCGATTTCGTTATCATCTTATATACACGATCACGCGAGTTAAGATAGATTTGAATTTTAATCAGATTGGTTAAAACACCAAAAAAGCAATCAATCTTAAGATTGTATCACTCAAACCTTTTGCTCTTGTATAAAAGTTAAGTTTTGTTGTTTGTTAGGTAGTAGAAAGGCGAATGATACCAAAGGGATATTCAAACTAGCAAGTCGAAAACAAACTGACAATGCCATGGCAAAAAACGAAAAACAACGAAAAGACGTACATGTAACTGTACACAAAACACAACACAGAAAACTGAAGACTGAGCAACACATTCCCCACTAAAAACCGGGGCTAATCTCGTGTACTCCGGAAGAGTAAGCAGATCCTGCTCCACATGTGGCACTCGTCGTGTTACTCGTGTTAGTACAAATCCAATGATAAGTCTTTTTAGGTAGGTTACATTCGAGGATTTTGGTTACGACAATTGGAACATATCCGTCGTCATCTGTAAATTAGATATTCCATAACGGTCAATCAACTCGTTATGGCGACCCTAAAATTTACAAAGGGATGATTTCAACTTCATCACTTGGAATTATTCGTTCAATAGCTTCCTTGTAAGCAGCAACCCTTTATTAAGGAAATCGAGATAGGAAACGCAAGCTCTGAAATATCGTATAAACTTGAAGATATATAATTCATTTGCAGGCGTATTTGTGTGTATTCATAGACCCATTCAGATTTTAAAAAAAAATGTTTTTTTATCAACGACATCACAGCCTTCACCCATTCGGAATGACCAACTATGTCTTCTTTATCGCAAATAGCCCATTGACTGGCATAACCTTCGACTGACCCATCAGTATTTTGAAGTTGTGTTTCCAATTGATGGATTCGCGATATTTCGAGTCTTTGGATAAAACATTTCGCAGAGATGTGTTATTGACAATGTTCAGGTCACCAGTAATGACGTGGCCAGCCGGATTATATATGAATCTGGAACTAGCGCAGGTGTAATCAGGATGTTTAGACTTTTAAGACGTCAATATTGAGATCCTGCAACACGTGTTTGTAATTGAAAATTTTAGTTGCAATTGGTTTGGTATATAGGTATAAGAAATAATAGGTACCGACTGATCTTTAAAGTAGGGAGGTATTTTCGAGTAAACTGATTTATGATGTGGGATGTTGCCCAAGTTGATGGCATCGAGACCTTTTTGGAAAAGGAAAGTTTAAGAAAGGATCTTTTCTGATTGGCTATATCCGAGATGATAGCTATAAATTTGTATTGGCTTGAATGGATTTGTTACAGTGTTTTCCAAACATATTAAGCTGTACAGAGAATGAAGTTTTGAAAGAGGTAGTGAATAAAGCTTCGTGCGAATGTGATGAATACCCAACGGATTTTATATAAATGACAGAGGTCATTAATAGATATCATGGAGAGTGGGTGATGTATGATGACGATAACGATGACTTCCTTATAAACCATTAATTCATTATAAGCTATTGAAACATTAGCTAATAAGGAATTCATGGTTTATAGTTTCCCACAAAAATCCGTTTCATGATTTGATTGCCTATAGGAAGAACTATTGTTACGCTTTCGATGTGTATAGTAAACGATGGTTATACTGGTAAATGATTGTTATGGTCCACTTGGCCAACAAGTAAACTTAACATCAGAACAAACTCAAATAAATACATGCAGTGAAAGTACACAACTTATGACTATGGCATACTTTTGTTCTTTTGCCTTGAAGCTCACCTTCTGTATACTAAAATTTCGGCTCCAATACCTTCTTGTAATGCCACAAAACTTATCTATATATATGGATTCTGATTTAACTAATGCAGCCACATCAAATGCTTAAACTGTGCCTGCATGTTATTCCAACTAGTAAACTTTTGTATTGATATTAGTGACGACCATTTGCTATACTGGAGGTGAAGGGATAGGCTTGTGTACTAAAATGAAAACAATTTGGCGCGGCAAAGCCGAATAAGCCAGACTATCAATCAGAAAAAATGGATATTCCGTTCGCAAAAATAAAAACCCCGCCCTCCCCCCTTTTTCCACGAAAATCAAATTGTCGTCACCATGCTCTGCATTTAAGTTAAGACGATCCTAGATAGCGGCAAAATTACTTTAAACTTCAAGTATTCTTAGAAATACTAATTTTGTTACGGCTACCATTTTCTCGGCTCGGCATTCTGAGACAACTTGGTGATTTTCAGCTAATAGTGTGTTCCCGATCCTCAATTATAAATACTTTTTTACGAACTTTTGTGCCGTTGGGTTCCTGTTTCATTGAATTGACATGTACCCCAAAGATTCTTGTATTCATGCTTGATCATATTACCGTAATAAAATGTAGCATATACATATACAGATAGCGGCTTATGTAACCAATTGAAGGGCGGATTAATTAAAATACAATTATTCCTAAAATCACAAACAAACGTAATATTAAAGTGTATTACATTTCATTAAAATGACTATACAGTTGATTGTTAAAAAACGATTTTCTGGTTAGAAGTAAACCAAAGAGAAAAAAATTAAACCTAAAAAATTTAAACTTTGAAAGTGCCAATATAGTGACAAATTCAGTAAAGAACAATAAGAAGGCACTAGGCATAGGCGGATCCAGGGGGGGGGGGCCTGGGCCCCCTTTCGTGGGAAAAAATTGGTTGATTATATAGGGAATCACTGAAGCATGACTGGAGCCCCCCCCCCTTAGGTCAGTCAGCGGGCCCCCCTTATGAAAAGTTCTGGATCCGCCACTGCAGTATAGACACTATTCCATACAACACGGATCCATATAAGGTCTCTTTCTTTGTCAAGAGCATAATACATTGGAACCAACTGGAAGACAGCATTGTATGCGCAAATACAGTTGAGAGCTTGAAGGCAGCTCTCCAACACCGTCAATAAGTGTCTCTCTCTCCCATTGAATAAAAGCCAGAATTGGTATTTTCAACGTATACATACAGATACAGATACAGAACCTTTAACATAATCATAACAATGCATTATCCTGCAAGATCATACAAAGAGAGACAACTCCATCATTCTCTTATTGCAATACGGAGTATATCTCCCAGTTGATACGAGGCTTGTGTTTCCTATCATGATTTCCTTGATAGGGGGTTGCTGCTCACAAGGAAGCTATTAAACCAAGAGTTCCAAGTGGTGAATGTGAAATCATCCCTTCGTAAATTTCACGGACGCCATCACGAATTGGTTGACCGTTATGGAATATCTGTTTGACTTTCATAGATGACGACGGATATGTTCCAATAAATTTGTCGTAGCTACAATCTCGTCCCCTTTCCCCCGAATGTGACCTACCGAGTTGACATATCACCGGGTTTGTACTTACATGAGCAACATGACGAGTGCCACATGTGGAGCAGGATCTGCTTACCCTCCCGGAGCACCTGAGATCCAGTTTTTGGTGGCGTTCGTGTTGCTTGGTCTTTGGTTTTCTATGTTGTTTTGTGTACTCTTGTTTGTTTGTTTGCCTTTTTATTTTTTAGCCATGGCGTTGTCAGTTTATTTGTGACTTATGAGTTTGAATGTTCCTTTGGTATCTTTCGCCTCTCCTTTGCAAAAGTCACGATTTCCGAGCTGCTTTCTTCAGCTTACTAAAATCATATACATCAGTTGTTCAGATTATTGATAAATGGCTTTCTGCTATTTTTAAGAACAGGGCATCCTTATAAAAAGTGCATTTCATCTTCTACTGTTTCTTTTAATAGGCGCAGTACATTATCTGTCTTGCTTTATAAATGCAAATATCGATCTCTTTCTATTTTCAGATAATGATCACGAAATCTAAATTTGGCAAATAATCTTTTGCTCATCAGAGACTATATTAAAGTAAGTTCAAACTCATAGTGCATTTTTTTTTCCTGTATATTCTCAACTTATTTTCATCTTAAATTGTCTCCTGTTTTATTGTTGTTTATTAGTTCTTCCTTAGTGCCAAGGACCTATACATTTTGTTTTCAAACGAGATTTGCTTCATTTTTACATAATTTAATTTCATTTTTGTTTTTAATATATTAATATTATATAAAATAATCTAAAAAAATCTGGTGAATTCAATAGTTAAAAATTGTGAAATCAGAATTCTTCAACATGTTCAAGGTTTGGCAGTTCAATGACATAGCTGCTGATTCTTTAAGACAGCAATCCGAGCCAAATTGTTTTATTTTCATTATCATCATTATACATGTATGAGGGTGCATTGTGGATGGGGGTTAACAAAATAGAGAATAATGGGCAAAAAATATAAAAAATAGACAAAAATTGACCAAAAAGATTAGAGAACTTATGAGTTGCTTAAATATAACGAATTATAAAGCAATGAATAATGGGCAAAAGTATAAATAATAGAGAAAAATGGCCTAAAAAATTAAAGAATACAGAAATGAAGGACCCCATCCAAACCCTCTTATATCCTGAGACTACTATAATATGTGTTATATAAGTCTCAGTTATCGGATATTGACGTTCTTGTTCTGACTTCCACTACTAATGTCTAGACCAACTTAATATGGTTTAACGATATATAAAAACAAAGCAAGTTTCCCTTTCAAACCATACAGCAGCAATTGAATTTGAAATATGCAGAGTGAGACCTTCAATAGAATTCGACAAGGGTACCTGACAGGCATGACAGGGAACTGCATAACATATTTTACGCGAAATATATGGCGATCGATTTCGGTGTATTCCCTCTATGATACCTCTTATATAAGTCTATACGTTTCATCCAATCGGAATCTGTGTAAGAAAGAACGACTGTAAATTTAGCCAATCAAAGTAAAGATTACTAAAAATTAGGTTGTTCAGGAGGAATTCCTAGAAAATGTATATTTTTGAGAAACTTCATTTTTCTGAAATAAGCATTGGTTTTTTGTCAAAGTGATACTATACTTGACTCCAACAATCCATGTGCATGATTTTATAATGCATTTAATCGTAAATGTTGTATGACTGGAGAATTTTTGTGTAACAAGAAGGCACTACTCGGAGATCCATGTTACTATATTTAGTAATTTAAATCATCCATTTCAACGTTAACAGGGTTTGCACATACAAACTCATGGAGCTCTGCGATAGCGCACTACTTATCAATGATCAATGTATGAAGCATCTAACTCTGCGAACTGAATTAATAATAAGAAGCACACTTTCTTTCCTTAAACATTAAATAAATTTGCCAATGGAAGGGATTCCCTGGGAAATTATGCTGTGAATCAACCCTAGAACGTGGATGTCCCGAAACTTATTTTTCGTAGCGGAGGAACCTGTGTAAAAAGACAGCTATTTAGTATTGCATATTTTCTGAAATTATAAAGGAATCTTACCTTTCCATAATTTGAGAATATTTTCCCCAGTCAATGTTTACATTGTGGTTGATGAGTTACAACACAGGTGTCAAAAATGTGTCCCACAGCTTTATACATAGTACATGTTTGTAAACAAACCCTTAAGTGGCCTCTCAACCTCATAAATATTCATAATTTACACGCATATCTTGGCAGCCATTTTGATGGAAGACATTTGCAATCTAAAAATATTTCAAATATTTTGATAAAACATCAAAATAATAAACGATGTGACAGGTGAGACACTGAAAAACTATTCCCCAAGAATAGAACTATATTTCAGACCGTAAAAAATCCAGTTCTTAGCAGTGGTTCTAAATATTTTTTCAGGGAACCCCCTTTGACTACGATGTTTTTTCATCAATATTTTCGTTGTTTTTAAAGGAAAATGATGAAAAAGGAAGGTTATTATTTCTATAAAGTATTTTCAAACAATCTAAATGGACTTGATACAGTTTATAGTGACTTTGAAGTCACGATTCTAACAATATTGACAAAAACAACAATTCGTGTTTTTTGTTCAAAATGGTTTTGGGAGTAAACGTAGAAAATATTAAAAGTGAAAATATAAGATCATCTGAAATAAGTCAAAGAGATGCATCCCCTAAAAAACTAGAAGTGTTCTTCATCATTTACTATTAGTCAGTTGTTGGTTTAACTACGAAAACAGCCTTGGACGAAAATTTGTGTATTAAAAGTTTAAATTAAAGTGCAATCAATCACTTTCGTGACTGTACCTTAAAAATCTTCACTATAAATTGACATACAGTTTAAAATCAACTTCGGAGAATGAAAATACTTCTAGTAGTGGTCACTTTAATATTTTGACATCCCACTTGTTTAACACCTAGTTAGTCAAAAGACTACAAGTCTATAGACAGCAATGTTCTCTCAGGACAGTGCTGTCAGAATATTTGTTGTGACTGCAGCATTTTCATTGGTCTCTTTAACTTTAAAAATAAACCTGCAATGTATTAATTTCACATTTAGTTATGAAGTGATAACTTTCATCAAGTTGAAGATTGCCTCCCAGAAGTAATGTAGTAGATCAACATTTCACCACATTCTGCAATTACTAATTGATTAGACTATCATTTACCTGTATTGACCTTGTTAGAACACATAATTGCATAGATGTGGATTCATTATCGCTTAATCTGTTCGCCCATATAAAATTAATTTATTTTCTGTTTTGTTGTCCATTGTTATAACATGTATAAGATGGATTTATGATATAATTTCTACAAGAGTTTTGAAATTAAAAATTTTTCAATTAGTGCGTGAATGCAGCAAAAAAACGGAAGCATCTTTGTCACACAAGTGTTTGTGTTCAGGATTTCAATATTTTAATTTTCAATGTTTGTACGTATTTACTAGATAAACAATTTTCTATTTTTATAATACAACTTTATAACACTGTGCTTGTCTTAACAGTTTTGACTGAATATAAACTCTCGTACAATCCCTGATTTACTATCCATATCTTCTGTCTTTGTTGTGATGACAGAGTAATAATCTTTACCACGACTTTTGAGGATCTTACTTCCGAGCATTTAAATTTAAAGGTAACACAAGATTACATCAAGTTATTTGCTTTGTTATTTTTTAGGTAAAAATAGTAAAATATGGAATTACTGTTTTGTTTATTTGCGCCTGAATATTAGATCATTTTTTTTTGTCTGCTGGACATTTTGACTAATGAATGACCAATATTTGTCTCACCCATATCAAACTTGTCAGATTTGTTGAACAGTCTGGCACATTTCTTTGAAGTTTTATTCAATGTAAACCCCTCCTCCCCCTAAAAACCAAAGTAATACCTCAAAAATATGCTAGCATGATACCTTCAAAATGAAAAGTTGCATAGGTGTAAAAATTAGTTGTATAGAAAATGATCATGAAATGTCCATGTATGAACAATGTAAAAATTCAATTTTTCCTTATCTTTTCAGGCTTATATCAGTCGCTTACTTTTACTCCGCTTAGGAGATAATGTATGAAGGGAAAAATATCCATTATTCCTCATTTGACAAGAAACCGCTATGTTCCTTCAGCACTAAAGTATGTAATCAACATCGCTTGAATGGCTACGCCTTTTGTGTACGACATATCTTAGAGGATCCGACAGCACCATTCAGAAGATGTTCTTATGTTGCTAAATCTAGTGGACAAAAATGTACCCAGGCTATTCCAAAGCATGAAGACAGAGAGTAAGTTAGTTCTTATGAGCAATGAGTGATTCAGATTGTTGTTGCTAAACTGTAAACATCCAGTAGAAACATAATATGCTTATTCAAGACGAGAACTATTTATACAATAAATCTAGTGATACTTGTATGTTCAGCAGATTTGGATGACCACGGGAAATAAGTTCCTTTGGTCTCACAACAGGACACCTACAGACATTATAGACCAATCAAAGAGTATTTAATGTACAAAGAGTGTTTCCAAGACAGAGCTTCAGATTTAAGGTCTACATTCCACTAAGATGTGGCTGCATACATTGCTTTTGAACATGTATAATTCAGGACATACATGTAGGTCTTTAACTGTTTAACAACTCCATATACATATAAATATTTCTAGTTGATCACACACACAGTTAGATTCAGATAGAAAATCTTTTTGAGTATGTAAGTGATTTCAGCTGTTAAGTTAATTCAATAATTTCTATAAATAACTTTTAATCAGAAAATGTGCATCTGATACAGAGCAGTGTGCATGTTTAATCAAACTTGCATGTACTTCCCACTGTCTGAGTAAGGATATTGCTTAATTTTGTATTACTACATGTATTCCTTGAATTTTCCTAACTCCTTTGAAAACTATTTACTTTAATCCATTTGTAAGTCATATATATTAGAAGTTTTCAAAGTATTAAACATGATAACCAAACATGCTAAATGCATATATTTTTAAAACAACAGGCTTACAAATGAATGAAATATTTGTGCATTCATCCGCATGTTTCTAAAGTTGTCTACAGTCTAAATGGTGACGACAAAATGTTCTTCTGTTGTTGCTACATATGGGTTTCATATTTAGTATACCTAACTTTTAAAATTGACCTATAAAATTTCAGGTACTGCAATAACCATATGCAGGTTCTTGGAATGATACCTAGAAAAGAGAAGAAGGTGAAGAAAGATAGAATTACAGAAAATATGTTGTCTGATGTAAAGATACCTTTCCAAGATAGAGTAAAGTCACGATTCAATATTAACAAGCTTCAGAATGACAATGCTTTGCATTCAAACCCTGCAGATGACCCAGATGATCCGTATGCATTTCCAGATTCATCAGGAGACTCAAAGATCATTACAACTATTGTACAGCCCACAACACCATCATCAGCAGGTGATTCCCCTTCGTCAGCCAATCATCCGTTTGTAAAGTCACCAGGTGACTCCTGTGGCAGTGGGTCATCTATTGCAAAATTTTACCCTGAGTTGGCTGAAAAATTGGAAAAAATTAAACCAAAGAATGATGCTTTAAAGCTGAAAGACAAAGGGAAAGATAAAAGTTCAAGAACCATGAATAGTTTACAAACAAGAATAGCTCAGAATAGAATAAAGTCAAAGCGAAGGGGAACACAAGATTCATCGTCTCAATCACAGTCTCCCTTGCATTTAGGGAAATCCCCATTACACCCAGGATCTTTGAATGACATATATTCAGGTTTTGCTAATCATATTGATTTGGACAAGCCACAGAAAACTCCTCCTGCTTACAATCATTTTGATGCTTCTCCAACAGAGCCTACAAAAAGTGCTAATATTCCTGGAATAGAATTGAAAAGGCCTCCACCTTCTTACTTTAGACAACCATTTGACAGAGCTCCTGTCATGGCATCCGTAAATTCGCCGGTTGTTTCTATTGAAGAAAAGGTTGTGAAGACACAGCCTACTGTTAGTTCACAAAAGCCAGTTCAGTCAATCAATCATAGTGTTCAGATGGAAATACCACATGGAACCCCTTTACAATCACTACCTGGCATGTCAAACAGACTGCCGATTCCTAACATGCCAAATGCATTTAACCTTGATCTGGGGACATCTTTGCCTAATTTTGCTGCCTACTTGCATGCAATGCAAGGTAAGAATCAATATTTGGCAGGACTGCCACCACAATTGATCCCTTCATTGAACCTCCAGCCTGGATCAGTTCCATTTATAAACCTTAATTCTGCGTCAGCTACAGGTAATTTAAACCAAAATGTTGGAGAAAAGTTGGTAACACCTCAATCCATTCCACAGCCAGACATTACTAAAAGGCCATTACCACCACCACCGCCATTATTATCACCTTCTGGTCTTACCAATATTTTTCCAGCAGTGTGTGGAGGCTCTACAACTACAACATCTGTCACATTTACAGCCCCATCACAACCAATTAGACCACCGCCTCCACCATACAGCAGTGCTGTGGCTCAGGCACTTAACAAGCCTCCTGTTGCGACAGTAGCCACTAGTAAAACAACATTTACGAAACCTGTATTGAATGTGATACCTAGTGTTAACACTTCACTGATGTCTGCCAAGCCGGCAAAGATGAAGCATGTTCTCTCGGATCAGGAAATCGACAAGAAGATCAAGACAGAAATGGCCAAGAAGTACTACAATGCTTTCCTCAAGAGGAAAATCTACAATCATTCTCTGTTGAAAGCCGGTAAGTAGAAACAAGAGAACATCAGTCATGTCAAGTGTTATCCTTAGAAGTAGGTAATTATAATTAGCTAAATAGCCTTTTCTTTCAATTTTAAACTAAAACTTTAGGGAAAACACTGGTGGATCATATTGAATTTTTTGTCAGCTTAATTTTATGGATTGGTTTATAAAGTATAATAAATTAGCCTTTTGGTTAATGGTTTGATATGTCAGAACAATTACAAAATATGATTTTTGCTTATGAATAAAAAAGAGGAGTATTCATGTATATGTCAATGAGACAAGAAAGCTATAGTTACATGTACAAGTACTATAATAAGAAAATGGGGGCAAACCATACATTTATATATTTACAATGTACTTTTATAAATGTTTTGAAGCTTAAGACTAAACATGCCTTAGACAGTCAACTATATTTTGTATTCAAGCTATTGTTGGGGGTTTAAATATATCTAGTGAAAAGAACTGACAAACAACAGTTCAATATATTCAAAGGCATGAAAGAAGATGCATCATGTAAAAATAGTCAAAACAAAGTTTGAAACGTAATTAGCATGAAAAGTCAAAACTTTATCATCTAGTTTATAATTTTGATTATTGCAGGAATGCACTTTTATTTATTTTTTTGCAATAAGAGAAAGGGCTGTTTGATGAAAACAATTATTTGTGGTAGTAAGGCACCTTTTCAAGACAAATCAACCATACAATTAAAGAAATAGAAGTTATATTGTGAAAAGTGAACTGAACACATGTTTTGTGATTTAAGTAAGTGCCTCTCAACCTCCACCCTTATTTTCTCGAACAGCCCTATTATTGTTTTATATTTTATGAATGTGCATTTTATGTTTTACAAATAATGTTTAAATAAGTTATCAAGTGTAAACAATTGGACCAACAATCATTATAACAAATTTGTTGACTCAGGTATAGACAGTTCAGATGATTCCAGTGATGATGAGAAAAATGGTTTGTTACCATGGCAACCGAAATGGTTTTGTGCATCATCCGATGAAGAAGGGATGGATGAAGAAGAAGAGTAAGAAATGTTTTACATTTATATTTAATTTGAAATGTTCAAAGTCTTTAAAAAAAGGAAACAAAAGAATTACTGTTTACATGAACATAAAAACTAGAAATAACTGATTGTTACAAAATAATGGGAAACACCAGACATGCGAAAGTGAATTTAAATAGTAATAAACTGTGAAGTGCATTTTAGATTTATGTACATGTATTAGTGAAAGGAATTCAAAAATAAATGCAATGTTAATGTTTATTTTAACATTTTTGCCAGTCAAACATGTCAAAGAGAGTGCAATTATAAATGATAATTTAAACGTTTGAATTTTTAAAAATCTTATGAGTTCACAGTTGTGTATGTACATGTAAATACAAATTCAGCTTAAAATACTGTTTGAGGTGATTTCACTCAGTTGATGTACATGATTGTGGGTGATTCACCACTCTGAAATACATCTTAATCAATACACATGCATAAAAAAAACAATATAAGTAGAGGCCATATACTTGCCAATGAGAGTTTTTTATTCAAAAATATCAAAGGACAAGAAAGTAACTTGTTTTGTTATGGTCTGGAATGTGCATGAAATATTTGCCACTGGACATCATGTAGAGAATAATCAATCATTGTTTGGTTGCTGTATTATTGACATTTACATTGTACACTACATCACCTTTTATATATCTTAACCCTTTCACCGATAGCTGCCCAGACAGAAGCTACTCTGAGACGATGGCTTCCCTGGCTACTATTACTCATGTGGGAGATCTTCATAATAAATGTCAATGAAAACTTGTCTGTAGTTATTTGTGTCTTTATTTCATTCACTAACACCATGTTCACAGTTTTGTTCATGTTTTGATAATTTTTTCTTCATAAAATATTCAAATTTTCAAATTTTCGGCATTATCTAGGTGAAATTCTCAAAATTCTGCTCTTTGACCCAAAATCATAATTTTTATACGCCTGTCAAATTTTTGACGGGACGTATTATGTTATACAAATGTCCGGCGTCCGTCCTTCTGTCTGTCCGTCTGTCTGTCCGGCGTAAACATGTCGCACCGTAACTCTAGAATGACTTATCCAAATTTCATGAAACTTAACATAGTTGTTTCTTATGATGGTCAAACGATCTGTATACTTTTTGGTGAAAATAAGATTAAAATTTTTTGAGTTACGGGACTTAGTAACTAAAACAGGTGTGTGTTTTTTTTCACATGTCGCGCCGTATCTCAAAAACAATTTATGATTATTGCTTAAAACTTTACACACTTCTTAGTTATATTAATCTTAAGATCTGTATACTTTTTGGTGATGATTCAAAATTTTATTTTTGAGTTATTGAGTATTTTGTTAAAAAGGGGGAGGGGTTTTTCACATGTCGCGCCGTATCTCAAAAACAGTTAATGATTATTGCTTAAAACTTTACACACTTCTTAGTTATATTAACCTTAAGATCTGTATACTTTTTGGTGATGATTCAAAATTTTATTTTTGAGTTATTGAGTATTTTGTAAAAAAAGGGGGAGGGGTTTTTCACATGTAGCGCCATATCTCAAAAATGATTTATGATTATTGCTTAAAATTTTACACACTTCTTAGTTATATTAATCTAAAGATCTGTATACTTTTTGGTTTTGATTCAAAATTTTATTTTTGAGATATTGATTTTTTTTTTTTTAAAAGGGGTGTTTTCACATGTCGCGCCGTATCTCAAAAACGATTTATGATTATTGCTTAAAATTTTACACACTTCTTAGTTATATTAATCTAAAGATCTGTATACTTTTTGGTTTTGATTCAAAATTTTATTTTATAGATATTGAGTTTTTTGTAAAAAAAAAAAAAGGGGGTTTTCGCATGTCACGCCGTATGTCAGAAACTATTTATGCTTATTGCATAAAAATTCACACACAAGACGATGGGCGTATCATGCGCTCATGGCGCAGCTGTTTATTTAACCCAAAACGACAAAATTTTGAAAAATTTAATGAGGCTGTACAAATTCCTTACACTGAACGATGTCCATTCCAAGTGTTTTGTACATAAAACGACATTTTATGTCAAAAAAGTATACTAGTTTGGCTTCAATTCTTCCATATTCTTTCAAAAAAATTGTTCCCTCATTTCAAATTCTCGTAAATTCCGTAAATTTCCTCTGATTTTGACACGGTTTTCAACAAACGGAAGCGCCATGTTTACACTTTCATCGGGGTATTCAACAAAGAAAGATAACTCGTGTTTGCACTGTTTTGAGCGGGAAATATAAAAGAGGTATTCCGATCCCGGTAAAACAGGACTCATCGTCAGCTGTCTGAATCATGAATCCCGGTAAACCGGGACTCATCGGTGAAAGGGTTAATGGACAAACAAATGATTCATTTTGTTGATTTCTTTTTTTCAGTCAAAATGATGTTATACGAACAACTAAGCTTGCATTATTGCGAGCAAGATTACGGAGACATTGTTCCCAGTCTCGGAAAGCCTTCAAAGGGAATGTTAATGAACAAGTGTCCAGTAAATCAGCTACAATGTCACTCATAAATTCTGCTAGAGAGAGTGGTAAAGCTACTGTTTGTGTCATAAAGGAGAAAACAAATGAACCACAACCAAGAGTGTTCAGGTAAATAAAGGCAACAGTAGTATACCGCTGTTCAAAAGTCATATATCAATTAAGAGAAAACAAATCCAGGTTACAAACTAAAACCGAGGGAAACACATCAACTATAAGAGGAAAACAACAAAATAACAGAACACAGAAGTGCAACAAAAAACAAACAGTTGTATAATTTATATACTAAGAGAGAAAAATTGTTGAGCCTCTAGTTTGTTGATTTTTATTGTTAATTGAAACCATTAGTGTTGATACCTAATGAAGTGCATGTTTTCAATTTATTTATTGTTTAAAGTCAGAATCTGTGTCTTGATGAACCAATAATTTTTATTGAAGACCTCAAAATGGAATCTTTGAATTATTTTACAGTATCAATGATTTGTTTAAACTTTTAAGTGATATGAATTTCTCAATTTTTGCTTTATACACCATGATTAATCACAATTTAGGTAATTGTGCTAAACAATTTTAGGAATCGGCATTGGAAAAAATACACAAGTTATTACCAGTCAACACTTATAATTTAGTCATACACATATTTGAATTAATGTGTTGTTTGGTCACATATATAGAGAATATCCTATGGCTTTTTCAATATCACATCCATATCGACCTGAGACACCAATATAATCCCAAGAGCTCTGCTCTGATTTAGGGTTGATACGGTGTGTGATATTGAAAAAGCCATATCATATTCACTTTATTATATACCTCAAGTAAATGTTTTTCACATGACATCACGTAATACAGATTAGGGGTTTGATAAAGTCTTTGCAACAGTGACTGATATTGATGACGTGACATCATAGAGATTAAAGGTGTGATAAATTCTTTGCAACTGTGACTGATATCGATTTCATCATGGATGGCTGATACAGCACGATTGCCGTTGACCGTATTACACATACAATTTATCTGTATTTACTACTAATTATGTAATAAATGTGTATATTTTTTGCATATTTAATATCTTCAAGTATTTATTTTTGTAAAGAATCAGTAGCAGCACAGAATATTCTTGGTCAACAGGTAACAAAAGTTAGAAAATGGCAAATTGAAAGAATTCTGTGCCAAAATGGATGGCATACGACAAAAAGTTATTTTAATAATATACAATTAATTATTCCACTCAAGTGATTTAAACAAAACTTACACATCGAACATACTTTATAGGTTTTCATTGACAGGAATGATTCATTGTTTTCTATTTTCAGGTACAAAAGGCGAGGTTTGGATAGAAGGCAGTGTCTGTACAAGAATGACGAGGAAGAACAGTGCCCAAATTCAGTTGTTCCTTGTGCTAATCATTGTCTTAAACGTATCCTTCAGCATTCATATATTTTTGTTCTGAGTAGTCATTTAGGCCTTACAACAAAATGTTAAGTTGGATTTGCTAGGTATAGAAAAATAAGTAATGATATTTTATTGTCCCTTTTGCAGAGGAGGGGGCATTAAATTTTACCCTTGTCTGTATGTAGGTCCGTCTGTACATACGTCCCAAAATTAGTTTCTGTTCTCTAACTTTAGTTTGCCTCAACCAAATGTTATAAAATGCTTAAATACAATGCTAATATAACAAACACAGATCAAGTTTGAATTTGGGTGGCGTCACTTGCAATCTTCTAGAGTTATGCCTCTTTATAAATGGAAAAGTTTCTGTTCTCTTAATTTTAGTTTGCCTCAACTAAATGTTATGAAACTTAAAGTTCAAATTTGCTTGCATAACTTTTACAGTTCTCTAGTTAAGTCCCTTTATAACATTTTATACAAGCTGGGGCATCATCTGTGTCCCATGGACACATTCTCCATTTATTATCAATATTTGAGCCAACAATAACTGATTTTTTTAATGTCTGTTGTATTATGTCCCCAGCATAAGATGTCAAGTGGGCAATATCAGATACCATTCTAGTATATCAACTCCAATCCTATTGTATCATTTATAATACAACACATACCTAAAAGATGTTTTTCACTATGAATTTATTTGATGACTTTGGGAGTGAAATCTTTTAATAATGATTCCTCAGATAAGTGAAAAGGAAGACAATTAAAAAAAATTTAATTTCAATTGCAAACTAAAACCTGCTTGAATTTTTAAATAGATTCTGAAATTGTAAACTATTGCATCGTCAGTTATTTGGTTAAGGAATTACTTTTTACAGAATTGAAAGGGATATTTTCTTCCTTAACTGTGTACAGATATCATGTACAATATTGACCAGCAGTTATTTGATTACTGTACAGCCAAGACAGCAGACAATGTACAGTGTTGTATACCTGTGATAGATATCAGCCATGAACTACCTCTCTGTGTCAAACATGCCAGGGAAGTTGTAAGTAGATTTACAATTAAAACCCCAAATCTTATATAAAATGGATGGTACAATGTATATATCTCTTAACTGACTATGTTCCTTTGTTTGATACTTTGGATTCATTTATTTTCATGGGTTACAAATTTTGTGGATTTGGAAACAGTTTTGTATTTGTAGATATGTTATTTCGTGGATTTGACAAAGTCTGCATACATGCCTGAGGAAAATTTACACGGTGTTGATCATTTAAATTTGTAATAAAATAAAAATAAGAAGAGGTGGTATAATTGCTAATGAGACAACTCTCCACCAGAGACCAAATGACATAGAAGTAGTTTACCTTTTCCCACGAAATATACAAAACATTGGTACCTCATCAAAAATCATGAATCCACAGTACATTTTTATCAATTACAGATTATATAGGTAGTAAAAAGTCCTTTGTTTGAGATATACACTTAGATGAAACACTTGATAAATGCATTTGATATAAACATGACCAGGCATATGCATTCACAGTAAAATAAGAATGGACTTCTGAAGAAACAAACCAGATATTTTTAATCCATGATTGAAAAATTGTAAATGTACTTGAGGCTGTTCCACAAAATCATTTGTCTGACATGTCTGACCACAGGATTGTAATATTTAAAATTTTTTAATGGTTGTTTGGATGTTAGGCTGTTACTGTCTTTATATTCTTCAAAACGATTTTCATGGGTTTTGAGGTGAGCATTATTATTGATTGTTTTAATTATTTTAGGATGACAGTTACAAATTAGAAGAAGAAGAAATCAAACCTAAAAGACCCCGTAAGAAGACAAAACCCTCAGCTCTAACACGACCTCCAAAGAAAGGCAAAAAGAAAAAGAATCAGAGAAAATCTGCAGCACTTCAGGCTAACATTGACAGCATGGATACAACAGAAGATCCACCAACTGCATCAGGTAAACATGTCAAAATGTTAAATGTGTGGCTTTTTTAACTATATTTATGTCAGTCAGGGTTAAAATTTAATAACTTGTACAGGTAACTAATTCTTGAGGTAGAGTTATTGCCCTTTATAGGCATCCAGATTTATTTTACCTTTTTTAAAGAATGAATATTTTCTTATATTTTTGAATTTCTCTTGACTTCATTGGTCTAAATGAGATTCATTGTCTTATTTAAAAGTTGTCACAACTATTCATAAAAGTACAATGTCATTGACAATGGGCAATTTCAATGTCTGTTATTTTAAAATACTGCCTATTCACATGTTCAGCCTTCTGAGAGCAATTATCTATAAGGCCTTGGCCGCCTTTGCTCACTTAACATCTGTAAGGTTCTTGATAAATGTTTGAAATATAATTAAAAAACCTATGCAAACCAGGAAATTATATTTTAGGCATGTTTTGACTTCCATAAACTTGAAAAATTTCAGGGATTGTAACAAAATTACTAATATAAGTAAGTTTTGGGAAAAGCATAAGGGAGTCATTTCAAACATTGAAAATAAAACAAAAAAATACCTATTCCAGTGATATATTTCTTACATTTTCAAGCATATAGAATAAACTTGTAAAAGTTATAACCCTTACTATATGTTGAAAAAAAACCAAAAAAATACCTATTCCAGTGATATATTTCTTACATTTTCAAGCATATAGAATAAACCTGTAAAAGTTATAACCCTTACTATATGTTTGCTAGTGAAGGACCACAGAAAACTTGTGTGCAATATTTGCAGTGGTATTATCAAAGAAGGGAAATTTGATAGATCTACATGTAACAAGGATGCCATAAAATACAAGCATGACAAGGCAATAACCAATATATCACTATAGAACAGAATTTATTTATTGTTTATATTACTTTCACCTTAAAATCTGTAAAATCTTCAATATATGCAGTCTGATGTCTTAAGTTGAGAGATGCTACACACTCTGCCGCATACATGTAGGTACTGTTGTGACCTTAAAATGCCTGGCAATATTTTTGCCTTAACACAACATACCCTTCTATATTTAAAGAAAAGGAAGTAAAAATTGATGTTGATTATTCTGTACACATAATGATCAAAGTATTTGCTTTCATGTCCATGATTGTAAGATTGAAAATTATTTCCTGTTTCTGAGAATCTGTGTAAACAGATTTGAAATGCAAGTCCAATTCAAACAATAAAGGTTAAGTTTTCTAAAAAATTCTTGAAAATGACTCTTTTATAGAATCAGCTATCTCAGGAGATGTGGAAATGGATGCTAATTCTGGTAGTGGAAGTGACGAGTCAGATGAAGGGGAGACAACTACACCACAGGTCAAAGATCCGAGTTCAAAACCTCCAAGTCCTTTACCAGTACCTGCTCCTCCTCCTGTAACGGTTCAGGTGACAAAACCACTCGCACTGCCAACACCACATTCTCGTCCACTACATGTTACAAGACCAAAAGTAGAACAACACAAGGATTTCTTGGGAGAATTACCTGATAGTGTGTTGGCAGCAAATTTGCCAGCAGGTAAGATTTGATAAATACATTCAGACATGACCTACAATGCATGGAAACAAGTATTTGTATTCAAAAAAGTATTACTCATTCAGAATGGTTGTTTAGTAGTTATTTTTCTGAACAGAAAAATAATGCTGTAATAATTCGAAGAATTTTCATTGGAAAACAAAATCAGAAAAACGTAAATTAATATTTCTTTAACTTCCTCATAAATCTTCTCATCCTCCTGAAGACTTTCCTGTAAACAAAAGTAATATTCTAAGTTTATTGAGAAATGTATGAAAGATTATCACAATTGATCATTTCAAGATATTTTTCATTTGTAGATTTGAATTTGAACAAGGGACTAGAGCTGCCTTTAGAACAGGCTTCCAGGTTGTTAGAAGAACATGATTTCCAAGATGTGCTCAACAAAATTCCAGATGAAACATTTGATATGTTTTCAGGTATCATTGATTGTTTTGTAGATGCAAATTTTATCTTACTGAGAAAATACAGAACACACTTTCAGCTGTCTTCCGTGGTTCATGACCCATTAGTTCAAGGATTTTGAGGAATAAATTCAAAATAACAGCATTTCCATTTAAATCTTTTTAGTAGATATTATTAGAACATTACTAATATTGAATAATAAGAATTGCTGGTATGACAAATATGAAATGTATGGGAAGAAAAAATGTGGAAATTAATGGAAAAAAATATATCTGACAGTAGTAACAAGAATTTCAAAATTTCTTGAGAAATGTATTTTGGATAAACACTTTGATTAAAACCAGATCTGTATTTTGTGAATTTGATAGATATGGTTTTAGTACAATTTTTGAGGATTATCTACTTAATGGAAGAATTTGGTCTGAATGGGCCAATTTAAAATAGTTTGTGTTCTTGGTAAGGACTGTTCCATAAAAACATACATGGGACCCGGGGAAGGCAACTTAAATTTGCCACTATGGGTGGGTATGAAATATTGTGTTGTACAGGTTTAAATGTATGCAGGATACTAAAATCGCTTCTATGGGTGGTCACTCTATTTTCAAAGTGCCTTCCATGGGTACAGTATATGTTTTTATGGAACAGCCTAATTAAGGACAAAACCTTTTATGTTGAAGGAGGGGGGGGGGGGAACATTTAAAAAACCAGAAGGTATTCCTGATGGTATTTGCATTGTGGCTGAATGGTCTAAGTAATATATCTACAGTGATGAGGTTGTTAGTTCAAACCCAACTTTTGGCTAGGTGCGTTTGACTCCAATCTTAATGATATAAATTGATAAGGATTTTCAGTTTTCCTGCTTAAAGTCTCTTGTTCTCTTCGGTTACGTCTGTTTCATCCACCAATAAAATCTTGTGGCCATGATATAGTCAATTGGGATAAAAGTGGTGTAAAACACTTACAATCATTCAATCAATCTTTTTGTATGACAATATTCATATAACAAACAGAAAATATATTAAACAATAAACCCTTTCATAGGTAATATAATTATATAGTATTATATATTATTAATATGTGTTGGAAAACATAACAAAATAGATAAACTTCCAGGAATATCATTAAATGTGGCTGTGAAAATTTTTAAACCATGATTATCTTCCTTGGAATAAACCCTGTACATGCTGTAGGAACAAGACTAGAGATGTTGACTACATTATTCATGCAATTTAAAAAAAAACCACATGGATGTGAAAAAGTGAAAACATTGGGTAAATGTCTATAAGACAACAGTGGATTACAAAAGTTCACAAAAAACACATATTTAGAGTTCACTTTATGGTCACCAACAATTGGACATTGAACACTTGCCATGTATATCAAGACCAAACCATCCTGAGTTAAGACAAGCCGAGAACATACATGAAATATTTGCCACTGGACATCAAGCAAAACAACAGACAATTAATCAAGACAAAATGTGAATTAATTCAGCAAAGATATGATATCAGATGAAATATTTGCCACAGGATGTTAGCTTAATACAATCAATCAATCAATATAATATCAGTGCAAATTCTAAAAACAAAACAAATGGCAACAACCAATTAAATGAACCCTATATTTAGGACAGGTAAATGAACAAGTGTTAGGTTAATATTTATGCAAGTACTAAATCAAATCCCTATCTACATGATTATACCTTAATTCTATTTACATCAAATGTTAAATAATTATATGGGAAAGATAAAAGTTCCGTAAATTAATGAAAGGTATGCATCCTCTCATCAATTTAATTAAAACATTTTAATATTCATTATTTTAGGAGGAAAGAATGGTGAACCAACAAAAGAAGAAATGGATGAACTTGAAAGGCATCTAGCTGCGGCAAACATGGATCTGAACTCTGCCCAGGAAGCATTAAGTACTGTAACAGACTATGACGATCAGATCAGAATTTTAGCCTCCATTTTAACTAATCAGCCAACTTCTCATATTGGGGGTGATAATGTTAATGGCACAGTAGATGAACATGCACAGGAAAACATCAACATGATTGCCAATAGTTTGGCATCCTCACATTCAACAAATACAACAGTTTCTTCTGGTCAAGTATTTCATCAAAATCAAATTCCACAGTTTCTTATTTCTCATCAGAATAACCAAGTAAGTCCTTTGCATCATTCTACAGTAATGAACAACATGGCAGCAGTAAACACTGGAAGGGGTCAGGTCCATCAACTCTCTCAAGGCCAACAACGTGGAAGTCCTGGACCAATTCATTCTCAACAGATGAGTCCTGTCAACAATCAGATGCGGAATTCACACAGAGGAAGTCCAGTTGGTCAAGTTGTCCACCAAGGAAGTCCTGTTAGCCAGCAAACTGGCCAGGTTCACCGTGTGCAGAGTCCAAATACACCACATGCTGGAAGTCCAGTCCAAAATTTAAAGATGCCAGTTCAGGTGACCAGTTCTGTTCACCAGTCTAATGTTCACAGTGTACAGAATATTGTACATCATATAAAACCTGGTACTGTCTTACCGTCTGGAATTGGAAATGGAATACAACTTCAAAATCTTCAATCAGTTGGGCATCGTCCAATGCTTGTTCAAACTGTTCATTCAAATATGGGCCAGACTGTTACACGTGCCTCAGGACAGCAAGCTTATTCTCATCCAAATCTGTCGGAAAGGATAAATAGTGTTCAGACCTCAGTTCACATGTCACCATTAGTACAGACAGCCGGTCACCAATCAAACTTGATTCATGGTAGTATCAATCAACAGTTGAATCTTGCTCTTCCAGGAAGTGTGCTTCATCAAAAACTTATTCAACAAGCAAGTTTAGGAAATTTATCAAATAAAGCCCACATTCAACAAAACTTGTCAGGAAATGTGCAGTATTTGGTAACTACTATGGGAAAAACTGCTAACCAGTCTGATGTTGTCTCTTCAAATGTAATACAATCACCCCATGTTTCATCACAAGGTCATGTGACAGGAAATGTGCAATCTACATCCCATAATGCTTCATTGCCATATCATATTTACCAAAGTAACCATCTGATTCAACAGTCCCTGGGACAACAGTCTAAAATAATATCAAGTATCACAAATGCTGGGACCAAAACAACTCCTGTTTTACAACAGACTAAAGCAGCCATTTCGACTTCTGTGCCAACAACAGGTACTTCAAGGATTGCCTTTCAAAATGGATACCCTGCTCAAAGTGCTCAATTTACAAACAATGATGTAAATAGTGGAAAGTATGTGATGTCTGCTGCTCATGGGGTGCAGAACTGTACTGATCAACAGTTATTACAAAATATAGCCCAAACCCTGGTCACGGCACCGCATCATATTCCACCGACTTTTGAAAATCCAAAAAAAACTCAAATCACTTCACAAAGGATAGCACAGACTGGAACTGGTTCGTGATATCAACTGAGATATTATTTTATGTATCTTTTCAATTTTACTTTCAAGATAACAGTCTAAAAAGATGTCATATTCTTTCAAATCATTTAAACAATTTCAGTTTATTTTATCTACAAAAGGCTGTCTGATTGGTATATCTGTTGATGTAACTTTGTCTCATTGTGATAATTATAAAAAAAAAAGAATTGCATTTATATTTTTATATACATTCAGATTATTAATTTACTATAGTAATTGCTAATTCTTTTTCCATGTTTTCATTCATTCCATGAAAAGGTCTATGTAAAGTATTTAAATTGATTTTAACTTCTGATGAACATGCAAAGAAAACATTATAAGATAATCAGAATTCTTAGATAAAATTATTAAGGTTTTTGTCTAAATTATTTTTTTTATTTTCTACTCAATGGTCAAAATTAAAAAAGAAATGGACTATTATATTTTTACAGATTTTACAAAAAATTTAACCCAGTATCATTGTGAAGCAACTTACTTTTAATGGAGATTCACATAAGAATGGTTAAAATTGTAAGGTATGTTGTTTATTACTGCTTTAAATTAAAAAGCAAAAAAAAAAATGAACAAAATAAAATTTTACATAGACCTGGTGTGAAAGTGTACTTTTATATCATTCATCCTGTTGATGTGTTTTTGGTGCTATATTTTATTGTTTTTATATAATGCTTTCACCAATATCAGAATCTCATTTTGTTAAAGATATCCATATAATCTGTTAAAAAACAAATCCTGTTTCTTATGCCACACTTGTATCAATTTGAAGACAACCTCTAAAAAGACTTTTTTGCATTATTTCTTATTTTCAAAAGTTGATTTCATCTGAATTGTTGCCACTCTATAGTTTATTATTTATAACATCAATTATTCTAGTTTATTAAAATGAGCAGGATATTTATTGAACAAATGGCTTAATTAAAAGAAGAACTAAAATATTTTTTGAATTTATACAGCTTATGTATTTCAGTTTGTGTAAAATACCGTAGGTAGGAGGACCACAAAGTTTATCAAGGTATTGAACTTCATGATTGTAGTAAAATAAATATTAAATATAATTGTTAGACAATCAAATCATTGAACAGGTAATACAAAAAAATGCCTTAAATTAGATATTTTATGTGGCTACATCAAAATTTTGATCTTTACCAAAACAAGAGAAACACACTCATTCAAGTTTATAACTGTAAATTCTTATTGCCAGATACTGCTTTTAAAGGTCACATGCAATAGTTTTGGAGTATGTATATATATGGATACCTTTCCATAATGCAATTTTTTTTTAACATTTTGTCAGCAGAAAAAGGCACACAGACAGTATTATCCATCTGAATTGTTATTGTGAATGAATTTTTTTAATGAAAAAATTGGTCAACGAAAAAACAAAAAATATACGATTTATAGCATTTAAAGTGAAAGAAGTACAGTATGTAGGATGACCTATAATTGCTTTAATCTATGTCATTTAGACTCTGTTGGATAGTTGTCACATTGGCAATCATACCACATCTTCCTTTATAATAAAATAACATGAAATAAAAACAATGGATGATTAAACAAAAGAATTTTGTTTAATGTTCTTGTTTTAAGTACTGTACTTTTTTCAGAGTTGTGCACAACTTGTTTTTATACGACTTTTGCGGTCGTATTTTGGTATCATATCGTCGTCAACGTTGTCCAAAGACAATGGGTTTCCGGGCAATAACTTTAGTAAATGTATATAGAAATCTATGAAATTTAAACACAAGGTTTATAACCACAAAAGGAAGGTTGGGAATGATTTTGGGGGTTATAGTCCTAACAGTTTAGGAATAAGGGGCCAAAAAGGGGCCCAAATAAGCATTTTTCTAGGTTCCAGACAATAACTTGTGGAACGGTGTTTGGATCTCTCTGAAATTATACCACAAGGGGACAGCATAGTGTATTGCACAAAAGCAAAAAAAAAGTGTGGGGTAAATTTTTTTTTGGGGGGGGGGGGGGGGGGGTCAATTTGCAACAGTATAGTGTATTGCACAAAAGCAAAAAATTGAATATAAATTCAAATCATGTAACCAATTCTAATTTCTTTGACTACAGTTATTCTGTGTCAGAAACCTATTATGTGTCAAATATTTAATTACAGTCCAAATTCAGACCTGTATCAAGCGCGAATATTGTGTCCATTTTTGCTCCAACTGTTCAGGGTTGGACCTCTGTGGTCGTATCCAGCTGCACTCGGCAAAGCAATTTATTTTTAATTGGAAACAAGATACATTGTACATCTTGTACAAGTTCATTTTGATGATAATTTTGAAATTTTTTGTTTTTGTTGTTTATTTTAAATAATTAATCAGCCATTCAATTATAAATATCAATACAGATGCATGCATGTCTGGAAAACTTAGCATATGACCCTTAAATACTAAAAGAAGCAATTAATCATCATTGAACATCTTTGTTGAAGAGCATTTATTTTAATTTTCTTGCAGTAAGCATTTGTTCCACAACTTATTTTAATTGAGCAAAGAAATTTAAACAGGTTCCTGCAAATTGTTTAGTCATAAATATATTGACCAAGAGGAGGCAAAATCTATTTGACTGGTAGATTTGTTATATTCTCGAAATTATTCTCACCTTGAGCTTAGTTTTATTGAAATATTGACAGATTAGATACTATAAAAGCAGATTTTTTTTATACCACAATAATGTGCCAACAGTTCAAGAGATTTATTGAGCACAAAAAAGTCTTCATTATGCTTATTTGACTTCCAATTGCAAATCATGTCTTACAAGAAAATGGGTTTGCAAACTTTTTTGTCATAAATTGTTAACGATTTGCCTCCTTTTTTTGAAACATTGTTCTTTGATGACGAACTGTAAATTTCTTTGTACCAGATATATTGTCTATGTATATGTGATTTGGAAATAATATTAATACTATTTAAAAAACAGTTTTACCTACATGACCTATATTTATAAAGTTTTCAGCTGTTGTCATTGGTGATACATATTTATTTGTTGATAATTTAATCTGTGTATGGAACAAAGGCAGCATAATTTTATGGCTTGTGTAATAACCACATTAATTTTCATTGTCACTAAATTTTGGGGGGAGGGATTGTATAGTTGTATAGTTTTACCATTTACCTTCTTTTCTGCATTCTGACTGAACTACAACACAAAAAATTTATTTTTTGCTTGCTTCATTTTCTCATCATTTTTTTTTCTGTCTGGATACATTCCAAAAATAAATTATTACTTCATGCTTAACTAGTCTCTTGCTGTGACATCTTTATAAGCAAACTGTTTTCAAACAATGCCAATGTTTAGGGCTAAATGTAAGTGATCATCTTGCTTTAATAAAGGATAATCTTTTCCACATACATATAATAGTTACGGCCCAGTTCAAATTGTTTTCAACTTTTCTACAAAGCAGACAAGACATTTCTCTGTGTCAATTTTATCTTTAGAAAATCAGAATTTTAATAATATGAAACTTCATGTGGTTATTTAGAAGTCTAGATTTCTCAAAAGGTGAATTAGAGATGAAAATGATATTCTTAATGAAGTGTTTTCTCGCCTTTTGAGCTAGACTTTTGAGATGAGAAGTTTTCTATTAAATGTTGTTATATGGTTGTACATAATATAATTAAGACATGTAATGTGCTTAATGTTGGAACATAATTATAACTATTATTTAACTCTAGTCTGTCTGACGTAAACAGATTGTTTCTACTCTTTAAAATGTGTTGAAGTTTGACTTGTAAATGTCAGAATTCTTGAGGTGAGAGATTGAGTGAATGTGACGCTGGTTAAAATGTTGCATAAAAATGGCATTTATTTAGTATTTACACATTGGCAAATTAATAATTTACTTATTGGAATTTGTGATGAAATTAATTTACATATATTGTAAATATATTTATCAGTATTAGATTTAATTATTCAGAATCTTTAAGCTGTTAATTCATATTTTAAGTTAAAACCACAGCTTTCTTCAAAAGAATAATAGCTTTGAATAATGGCAATCGAGGTGCACATTTTAAAGAGTAGCATAATTATATAAAAGAGCCGTTTTATATTTTTTTTATTTAGATTTATTAGTGCATTGTTTCGTTATGTGATAGATTTTGTTTTTATTTTGTTACTTTAGGTGTGAATGTTACCATTATTATCTGAAATTTTAACAGTACTGACTTACCTCAGAAAAAATATATATATATTTGTTGTAGAAAGACCTCAGAACAGTCTATAATTGTTGTTTGATGTAATATTTAGAAGTAAGATATGTACTGTTAAGAAAGCAAATCTTTATGCTTTAAATTACGAGTTACCTATTGAACTGTTAAATTTATATCTCATATTCTTCTCTATCCATAGGGAATAAGTTATAGAAAAAAGGTAAACTAATCTTAAAGGAAGAAATGGGTTTAGGACTGTCTCATTGATGTAGCCATCTATACCTCTTTCTTTTTCATATTGCACATTTTATTTTTGTTGCCATCTTGGTGAGTTTTCCTATGATATTCCCATATCTCAAAAAAAATATAACTGCGGTTATTTTATTTGAAAGAAATTCTAATTTGCAAAAGAAAAACATGAAAACATTTATTGAAAACAAAATTCCTGGTTTATTCTACTAGTATTTATTTGTGAATACAATCAAGAGTTGCTCGTAATTTTAATACAAATCAGTAATCAAATCGAAAAAAATTTGAGAACTTTTCAAAACCCTTTTTTCAGTATATCTTTCCTAAGATAAGATAGTCTCTAAATCTTTTATGCATCACTTTACAGTTCTTAAACCTGATGTAGTCTGTCTTGAAATTAAATTTGAATAAGTTTAATCAATCAATAATCTAGATTTAAATTTTCAGAAAAAATATTTAACAAATCTGATCAAACAAATTGATATCAAGTTGTTGGTTTTTTTTTTCACTTATTATTTTTTTTTTAATTTATATATGAAAATGTTATCTTATCAAGCTAATTATAATTTCACTCTAATAGACAAAAATTTAAGAATTAAATATAAGTGTATTTTACATGTTCTATGTAATTATCTGTAATTTTAGACTTCCATACATTTGGAAGTAACTACCTTTGAGTACAGTCCTGATTCCCTATTGTTTCTCTCTATTTCATTGCATATTTAAGTTAGTTCATTGTATTAGTATGCTTTGGTATGTTGGTGGTTGTTTAGAGTCTAAATTTCAATTTTTATGCTTCTTAAACAGATGGATCAAGAAAAAGATTCTCTTGACTTCTCTATGTCTAAACAAGAGAATATTAAAACAACAAATATGCCTTGAAAAACAAATTTAAGTTTTTTCTTAAATATTTTCTGTGAAAGCTACCATACAGCTGTAACTAAATTTTAAAATGTAGAGTATCATTTATCATTTAAGATGTTGTTAAAAAAATGAATCATGTATGAGTCAAAATCATTTACTGGTTAATAATCAAAACAATGTTTAATCATGAATATAAATGAACATGTTATGATTGATAATATAAACTCATTATAGCATTACATTCAAATTCAAAAATTTGACAATTAAAAAAAATTTGAAGAAAAAAATAATTATGGTTGATAATTTTTTTTTGTATTAATTTACAATTTTTTTTAAACCTGTGTGCTTATATTTTCTTATTAAAATTATAAATTAAAAATTAGTTTTTTTGTTTAATAAGAAAAAATAAGCACATCATAACACTTTGAAATAAACCTGGCATTACTAGTACAAATGATATTCTGATGAATGTACTGTAAAAAAGGGATTTGTGTGAGAGTCGCTGATCAGGTTAACAAAAGTATGAAACAGAAACTTAATTTCTAATAACTGATCTCATTGACATTGTTTTGCATGTTTTGTAAAATAAAATATATTTCAATGACATGAATTCATGGATTATTTGCCTTTTGAATTTTTTCGATATACTTGCAATAAAAAAAGTAAAATGATACCAGGGGATAAAAATGAAAGGTCAAGGAAAACCTACAACACAATTGCCAAACAAAAAAAGATGAAAGATTTAGTCATACAGAAACCACTGAAAAGCTTGTGTTTGTTTATAGTCGATAGACTTGGAAAAGGGTAGATAGATTTATTGCCCTGCCTTGACAGAGTCAAAAAGCAAGACTTAGGTATGCTGTAAGCAGCAGTGGCGGCAACAGTTGTTAAAGTTTGCGATTAGGACAGTTTAAGGGGAACCACTTATGGTAAGTCAATGATATTTGGTACACAGTTGTATGAGCATTTGCAGATTTCATTTCGATTGAGATTATTTGGCCCTGCCCCCTCAATCATGGTCTATTGACTTAAAAACTTTTACTTAGTTTACATTTTAAAGTTTGTGATTAGGTCAGTAAAAGGGGAACTGCTTGATTACATCAATGATATTTGGTATGCAGTTGTATTAGAATTGGCATTTCTTATTTCCACAGAAATTATTTGGCCCTATACCTTCCTTCATTGGTTTATTTACTTTGAATGTTACTCATATTTTGCATTTTTGTCGAGCCTGCGACTTTTGTCGCAGAAAGCTCGACATAGGGATAGCGATCCGGCGGCGGCGGCGTTAGCTAACTTCTTAAAAGCTTTATATTTTAGAAGATGGAAGACCTGGATGCTTCATACTTTGTATATGGATGCCTCATGTTACGAAGTTTCAGTCAGTCACATGTCCAATGTCCTTGACCTCATTTTCATGGTTCAGTGACTACTTGAAAAAAAAGTTCAGATTTTTTGTAATGTTAAATTCTCTCTTATTATAAGTAATAGGATAA